CCAATCAGGTACGTGTGAACAAATGGAGCTGAACCAGTCTCTCTCCTACCTTGCCCTCCATGAAGAAATGTAATGCGAAGGTCCTTCAAGGTGCTGCCACAATGATAACCTACAGGATCTCGCCAGGGTAAATGTGGGGATTGTCGGTGGCCTAATTCTTTCATCTTTGTTATGTGCAGAGGCATCTTCTAAGAGATAGAAAAATGAAACTAATATAATGTTTAGATGTCCGCCTTCCTACTTGGCTCAGGGCTTTCAGGAAAATAAGAACTTTTAAAAGGGAAAGATGTTTTCCGATAAATAGATAAACATAGACCAAGTTATTTCATAGGTTCTGTCTTTTGTTTTTAAATTTTTTTTCTGACATACTCAAAAAATGTTTATTAGTACAATGGACATTTAACCACTTTTTTAAATCTCTGAGAAAAAATAGGCAATCATGATTGCCTATTAATTGCTCATAATTTGTAACAAGAGTTATTCAAAGTACCAAACAGATACACTGCACTTATTTCTTACAACATCTTTTCAAATTTTGATTGAAAGTTTTGTCACTTCAAGGTATGGTCTCTTTTCAGAGGTCGCATCATAATGCTGTATAGTCTTTGGAGGAAAATACTTGAGGAATGGGCTTCTGGCTACCTAAAGTGAAATTGAAAATGCCCCCAGATACATAAATCATCAGAAGTAGCACTGAGGAAGCATTTCAGAATAATAAGGAGGTAAACAGTAAAAGGGTGAGAGATTCAGAATCCTAATTCAATCACACTCCATATAGCACGCTGGTTAAGCACACAAACAGGGGACCAGACCTGAAGTCCAGTTCTATCACTTACAGCGATCAATAACGTACTCATATCTGTATAACCTTGAACAAGGTATTTATTTAAACTTCCCATGCCTCAATTTCTCCTCTCAGAATGAAGACTAATAACTCTACCATATAGGATGATGAAGACTCAGTATATGTCAAGTGCACGGAACAGTGTGCTTGGGACAAAGTAAACTTTCAATTCATGTTAGCAATAACTAGCATCACTAGCTATGTGACTGTGAAATGTACCTCTCATTTTCTCCACCTATAAAATTGAGACGATCATAGTTATATCGCAGTTCTACCCTGAGGATCAAATAAAACAAAGGACAGAAGCTAGAGGGTCACAAATGTGAAGAAGTTGTCCTGCTGCTATCTGGCGGTTCTTCTTTCCACTCAGTGGGAGGTACCTCCTCTCATTCCTCAGCCCCAGGTTTCCTCTCTGGGCACCTCTCTAGTGTACGAAGGGGTTCCCTCTCATTTCGGGTCCTAAGGGAAGAACCCCCAGTTCATCACCAATCCTTTCCATCTCAGTAAGTGGCACCTTTCCCCACCGTCCAGTGGCCAGAGTCAGAAACCAGGGTGCCAGTGATTTTGCTTTGTCACCTCATTGACTCGGTTGACCCGCACCTCCCCTTACCTTTGTCTCCATCATGGGTACCCACCCAATCCTTCTACTTCTCCATGTTCGCAGCTCCCGTGCTAACTCATACCATCCTCATTTCTCTCCAGTAATAACCTCCTATAGCCCCACTTCCTCACTTGTCTGATTCTATCCATTTCTTCCTCCCCGGTACAGAAGGAGAAATCTTTCAAAAATGTCATTCCAATCACATCTCTTCCCAACTCTAAATCCAACAATGGCTTCTGAGTCTCCCATCCCTCCCCAAAACATAGTCCTCAACAAGGGTCCTGCCTATTCTCTGGGTTTATCCCAACCCATTCCAGAGCCCCGGTTCCCATCCCTGTCACCAACTTATTTCTATACCCAATCCTATAGGTCTTTCTCAGCAACATGAACATACTTACAATCTTCCTTACCTCAGGACCTTTGCACTTGCTGTTCTCCCCCCCTTTATATTCTTCATATCTCATCCCATAATTCATCTCCTTAGAGAGGCCTTCCTGGACCACCCCCAAATGCCTTCATAGCATTATTATGAGAATTTTCATAGTATTTACTTCATAGCATTATTATGAGATTTAAATGAGAGCAGTGCTTGGCACAAAAGTACTCCTTAAAGCTGTAAATAATTATTATTGCTACCATCATCACCCTCAGTGTCTCGCTTTGCGGCCTATTAAATTGCACAGAAAACACTAAACCAGAGTGTGTGATTGGGGTTTGTGTTTGCTTGCTCGCATTTTGCCTACCGGATTGCCAATTCCATGAGGCAGACATCCTTGCCTATCTTGTTTCCCGGTGTATCCTCACGTCGCAGCGAACTGGCAATCGCAGTGCGAGCTCTCAAATGTATGTATGTTGAAGGAACGAGTGGAAGTGAACAGGGCTCACACGGCCGAAACCCCATGAGGGCCTCGGGGCCACCCCACATCTGGCTGCAGTGACGGTGCTGTCTGTGCTCCGAGGGAACACTCCCTGTCTCCCCTGACACCCCTTCATCTCCCCTGCTTATCCCTGTTTGTATTCGAGGCGTCCTGCTCCTGTGAGAAAAGCAAAAGATCCCCCCAAACTCTTTTCCTTTTTCTCTCTCCAGAAAAATGGGCCAATTCACAGCTGGGAGAATTTCCTGTCTGGGAGTCTGGAAACTGCCAAGCGGGGAAAGCAGCAGCCAGCCAGCGAGGCCTCTGTTGTCATTGGCCCAAACAGCAACAAAAACAACCACCACCACCACAACAACAACAACAAAACATGCCACGTGGGCGCAGGCACACGCAAACACGCCCAGAGACCCAACCGGAGGGGCAAGGCTTCAAGGAGGAGCCCTGGGCTGCACATGCCGGAGGCGAGGCAGATCCTCTGGCCCCGCGCCCGCAGCCCCGGCCCCAGCGCCCCCACCATCTGTCATCAGCATCCCGCCTACTGTCAGTGTGCCGACACGGGACTCGCAGGCTGACAAGTAGCAAATGCAGGGGAAGAAAAAACAAAGCCACCACAGCCTGCGGGGGAAGGTGGCTGTGGCTTTGACATCAACTGACAGAGCGCCGGGAAATTTGAACTGAAAATTTTCCTCGAAGACCTTCGATTGTGAGGGTTCGTCTAGGGGGAAGGTGGGGAGGGGGAGGGAGGCTGGCATGGTAGCATCGTCCAGCAGGCTGGCTTCTTTCAGACTCCATGGACGTGAAATATAATTTATAATTCATTCTGACTGTCCACGGGTTGCCCCAAAAGGCTCTCTTATAAGAAAAAAAATAACGTTTTTCAATAAAATTTCAGAAGGAAACATTTCATCAAGGCCTCATGTGTCATGGAATGCAAATTGCTGATTTCTCCATCAAATAATTATTCTGATTAACAAGTTTCAAAAGACTAAATTGAATAATTCATTATAATCTCTTACGATGATTGATAATCTATTAAATTGGGATCAATTGCCTTTCCCTTGTTGTCCAGAAGTTGTGGGGTTAGTTTTATGTTCTTATTGGAGAAAATTTTCTGGAAAAAAATTAAGGTATTTGTTATTTTCCACTGTGGGTAACAAAAATATTTTTATGAACCTGTGTGTCTACAACAGCAAAAAAATTTTAATCGGCTGAGGTTGCTGCTAAAATGTGTCTAAATTTTGGCTTGAGTGGTGGGAACTGTGTCTACACTTAGATGCCTGGCTGTCTAGGGTTTTCTTTTCTTGTCATTAAACACGGAGTCTCCTTCTCTTAAAAATTAAAAATATGGACCCCGGTTACTAGACATTTGACAACCATGTAATAAACTTAACATTGTTTCACGTATGTTAGAGATAAAGAAACTGAGGCTAAGAGAGTTTAAAAATCACCCAAAGTTGCGATGGTAGAACTTCAAAGCCTCTGGACTTGAAGCCCTAACATCCTTTCGTTTTGAACAATGAGATTCTGCTCTTGTGGTGTGATTTCACTTTGCCCCTTTAGTTCTCACTGCAGAGCCACGAGTACTCCAAATTCTAATCCCTGCCTGCTTTTAAAAATATATTAATTAAGCAAACACAATTGGGGTAAATTTTACCAAGATGACCAGAAACAAATCAGATTTCCTTCTGTTTTCTCATCAGTGAAATGTTATTATTTGATCACTCTTTAATAGTTGATGACTAAAACACAAACTCAGGCAAAAGAAGTCTCAGACCTTAAATAATTCTGATTGACAGCATAATAGCTTGGCTCGTTATCCCTAATCCACAGGGTATACATATATTTACAAATAAAAACACACACCACATGTATTTTCCTCCACAAGGTGATGCTGTCAACTAAAATAGGGAATGTGTACCAAAGTACAACACCCATCATTTTTAAGACAGATTCACCCCAAAATCTCTCACTTCATGATCCATGGATGAAAGCCTGCATGGGTGCAGGTGGCTGTGACATTGCTACCTGTGTGATGTTTACAGAGGAGTGACATGCATGCAAAAACACTAGCTCCAACATCTGGAGAATTAGCTCTGAGTGCAGGCTTATACTCCTGTGCCTCAGTATGTTCGTCTGTGAAGGGGGAGCAATAATGGCATCAACAGAATTGTATGAAGTATAAAATGAGATAGTGGATCTGAAAGTGTTTTGTAAATAGTAACATACTTAACATAGTTAAGCAAAAGGAAAACATGGTTTTTCTTTTTTCCATATTTCTCCATTCCCTTTTCTCCATGTCCTTCTGTTCCTCCCCAACTGATCTGTGTTTAAAAGGGAACAGTATCTCTCCCATCTCTTACTTTCTCTTCAGAAGGTAAAAGTCAGTTGAAAGGTAGTCTTGTAATATTTTTGAGGCCAGCCTGACACTCTACATCAAAAACTCATTTTGAGTTTCACCTGTGGAGAGAGGTACACAGAAATATCTTCATTTCCACTTCCTGTGGAATTTAACAGATTTTCAAAAATCCTACACATAGCTCTTCTAGGACCATAATGAGCAAAGTCAGTTTCCAAACTGTGCTTCATACATGTCTGTGGGTGATGAGTGTCAGTTAATAACTTATATCAGTGTCCGTTTGTTCGTTCATTCATTCATTTAGCAAGTGCATTGAGTGCCTACCTTGTCCAGGGCAATTTCCCAAGTCCTAGGCTGGTAGCAAGAAACAAGAGATGTGGTCCTGCCAGGAGATTTGCCCACTGTGCCAAAACAAAAAGTTTAAAGGAGCGTCTTAGAATGTTTAGAATGCTTTTGAATTTTAAGAAGACTCAATTCTTGTAAAGGAGTAATAAAATAAGAGCTGTGGACTCTGATTCCTTTCCTGACTTGACCAGTCTTTGAGGCCTTGAACCAGTCATTTTCCTGTTTAGGACATTTTCCATACTTTGCAGACATTAAAGGCTTTTCAACCTCCTCTCACTTTGTTTTCTGAGTTAGCAGAGCTGCTTCACCAAGAACTAAGGGCTAACTGTGGGGAAAGCATGTGTTTCACCCTTCTGAATTGTACTTTCATGAAAGAGAGTGTCATGACTGGGAGCTGGGCAGGGTATGGTCCAAATGGGGGCTTTGGATGGGAACAATGAAGAGGAACTCACACCAAAACACAGCTTTGCAAGTCCTTCCCTAGGCTAAAGGCTTTTTAAGGAGAAGGACTGAGGATCCTGTCTCACCATTGCAACCCTCCCTCGGGTTGCAGTGAACCTACAGGGTTGCAGGTGCACACAGAGGCAAGGCCATGGTCACCACAACAGTAAAGGGTGATTGCTCTCTGGTGCTGAGCGATATCTCAAAACCTTTAAGTGATGTCCACTAACGAGTTAAAAGATTGGGATAGGGTTAAAAGGTACTTTCTAGAAGCCTGAAGTCTTGAATTCTGATGCTCGTTTTTCCCTGGCCAGCTATGTGGCCTGGAGCAAACCCTCTACTTCTCCGAGGCCTAAGTTTTCTCATCTGTAAACAAGAGGTTTAGATTTCTAAGGCTCTTTCCAGGAATTGGAATTTAGGAAGAAAGTGGAAAATTAAACAGATGTGGGCATTTTGAAAGTAGAGCTTCACCATCCAAAATGCCTCTGTTACTTTATTAATTCCATTCCTGGTTTGAGCTTGGAAAATTGGCAAAATAAATGCAACTGTTTCAGAAGTTAATGTTGTATTAGATTAACATAGCAAATAGACACTTGCCTAGAGAGTAGTACCTTTTGCCAGAAGTGGGTTGGCTCTGAAAAACCCTGCCCTGAAAAGCCATACCCAGCACACAACTCTGCCTCCTCACACCTCTTCATCCCCACAACTCAACTTGCCCCCAGAACCATCCTGAACTGGCGTTAGAAGTACAAAGCTTTTCATTATAGGACCCAATGTTGAGTCACCTCCTTAATGGTTTAACCATGACCTGGCATGTCAGTTTGGATAATGCTCTTTAGCTTTAATTCTTTATCCTAAGTCCAGGTAGAACTGGAAGAGTGGTTTATTCATGCATTCATCCCTAAGTACCTATGAAGTCCTCAGGAAGAGCCCCCTCCTCTAACTCATTCTGGACTTGTGTACTAGGATCACTCCCTCTCTCTCTCCATTTCGCCTTGCTGTCCTCACTCACTATTGCTGAACTCACTTCCCTCAATGACAACCCTGCTTCTGGCTGTTTCACAAGAGGAAATATTGACTTCATGGAGTTGACCTGACCCAGAAAATCTGAAAACATTGAAATTCCCAAGACCCGGTTAAACATGATTCATTTGGACCAGGTAAGTTAGGCTGGCCACCTTCAGAGAAAGATGGCAACAGCAGAGCCCCCATCTCTATCAAGCCACAGAATAAGGGTCACGTGTGCATTTCTTCAGACGTTGCAGACTGCATTCAGAATACCTCACAATTGTCCTGTAAATAAAGATGCTGCTGTGTTAAGGTTTTCTAATCAGTTTTACTATTATAGACCTTCAGGATTCCTGGACTCATTAGAACCTTGTTCCTCTAAGAACTCTCACCATCATCACCATCAGGAGCTAGAACCCAAACTCTAAAGGCTAATCTAGTAGCTAGAATCTTACTATCCACTCTTGAGTCCTACTATACACCTAGATTTGGGATTATCACTTGCTTTGTATTCCCTGCTCACCACCAGAAACCCTGTTAAATCTTCTTAGATCCTTGACTCTGTTTGCTCTGATTTCATCTGTTATCTGTTACCATGTTCAAGAGCCACTCAAGAAAATCAGCTAAAATTGCTAAGCACCATGCCCGTGGTATAGAGGTTGAGGCCAGGTTCAACCAAGGAGGCCTAAAGTAGTGTATCTGGGTGAATGAAGTCTTATGGAAGGAAGTTTAGCTGGGACCATAATACCCACCATCAAGTTCAGAAACAAAACAATAAGCACCAAAGTTAGTAGCAGGGTCGATTCACAGCAAGGCAAGGCAATATTAAGGAACCACTGGCAGTTAAGTTGAGAGTTAAACTGTGGACATGGGAGAAAGATGTCCTCTTAATGAACAATTCAGTACATGGGCCAGACAGGGAAGCTTTCAGGAGGCCATGAGAGCTAGATAAGCATGCTCTGTGAGCCTTGGTTTTTGCTGGACTAAATTTCCCTTGCAGCATCTGTGGATGTGGCCCAGCCTCAGAAAGGGACTTTTCCAGGCTGCCCCATCTCATTGCATCTCAGACTAAGGCTTGACTGATTTCATGCTGATAATACATTTGGTTCTGAATTTGTTTCAGTTTCTACAAAACAAAATTTAAGATAATGACTGGAAACCTCAGTTAAGGTTTGATAAGACTGTATGTGTGTATTTGTTTTTCAGATGGTAGGAAAAAATACTTTCATCTACTAATAATATACTTTAGAAAAAGTAAGACTTGGTTTCATAGGCTCATTCCAAGTGAGCAATAAGGAAACTCAGAGATCATTTGCCTCCCCCCACCCATCCTTTTACAAATGAGGGATTGGCAGGCAGAGAAACTTACAACTTGCCCTTAATCACATGGGTAGCTAGCGTTGTAATTAAGAAAGTTCATTTCTCAAAAACTCCGAGATAGGCAGGAAAATGACCTTAGTAAATAGTCTTTTTTCTACAGTTCACTTGGGCAAGCGTGGTCAATGGTCTTTGTTTCCAGCAGTGTTGTTGCAAAATAGGTCCGTCCTCCCATCCTAAACACAGCCAGATTCCACAAGACCAAAGGCGTAGTTAAAGGAAGTCATGCTACACTGAAAATGAAGTCATCCCAGAGGATTTGACCTCTGCCGAGATTCATCACAGCCTCGGCTGCTCTTGGTCAACCTGAGTGCCCAGACCTCACTGCCCATCAGGAGACCACACCCAGAGGAGACAGTCACTCAGCTACTCGTATACAGACATTGGACTTAAATTGGGTGAGATAAGACTGGTTGGTTGAGTGGCTTTGCCAGTTTGTGCCTTAACTTTCTTCATGCTTCGGTTTCTTCCAGTCCCTTAGCTGCATAGAACCAAAATGCAACTTTGTAGAAACTAAGCAAAAAGGAATACATTAGCCTAGCCACTTGGAACTGCTGCCAAAGGAATAGTATCTTCAACTGATTGCCAGCCAAGTCCCTTAAGAGATTGTGTAGACTCACAATATTGCTCAGGGAGCGAAACAAAGAGGAAGAGAAGGAGAAGGGTCGTGCTTATCATAATTTATAGTACATGGTTATGGGAAGCTTCTGATGTTACCAGAAAGCTGGTGTCTGGGGTTTTCCTCTTCCCCAGAGGAGCTGGAAATGAGAAGGGGGAAGGGGGGGTAATTTTAGCAACTCTTTGCAGCCAAAATCATAAAGGCCAAAATTCCTTCCTAGAAATGTCAATAAGATTCAGACAATTACCACTAGTTCAACAGCTCCCAGCCCTGGGTCATTAACAACATCCCTGCCATTCAACAGTCATGTCACTCCACCACCCATCCCCAAGGAGCAGAAAAGTCTTAGAACCTCTTTCCTTAAAGCCATCTGATGAGAGGCATCAAGGAAGGAAACCCAAGTGTTAAATATTTGCCTAGGGAATTACAGCACCTTGGCTGCTGTGGTTTCTAAGTAGGTTTATTGTCCTTGTTCTTCATCTTAGAGGATGATGATGTTTCAAGTATTCCAGTTAAAATTCTGTCCCGTGATGAAGGAAAACAGATGACATAGGGTGTTAACCAATCTTCTCCAAAAGTTATGACTTCCACTAACCTTCATTGACTACATACTGTCCTTACACCAGTGTCTCAGTCAATCAAAATGCGACGCTAGGAGTCCTGATGCTCATCAATAGCGGCTCCATCCCGTCCTCCTCTCTGTATGGGTTCCTGACACACAAGCCTGAGGCAGGCTAATGGCTCTTCCTGAATAGATTGCCTTGGCAGCAGGAGCCCAGTCTTATTCATCTTTGACTCCTTATTCCACAGTTAGTTGATAGGACAAAAGAATATTGAATGGACGTCACTATGAAGTAGGAAGGAAAGGAAGGCTAACCGCTTCTCTGTGCGTGCTAGCTCGAAGACTCACAAACTGGAAAGCAACATAGTGAGTAGCCCATACCCTGGCTCCTCAACATACAGGTTGTTTCTACCAAACTAATCAGTAGAAATGAACATACTTATATGACAAAGTTGCTCTGGAGAAAGGAAGGGAAAAAGGTACCACTGTCTGCACAGGCAAATATTGTCACAATCCAGATGAACTAATCAGGATTATCTTAATACTATGCTGTGGACCTTAAAGTGGCCTGAACGTCTCACCCAATTGTCTATGTCCCGATGATGACCTTGACAGTAGGGCCCATCCACAGGATCTTTGCTGAGTATCAGTCCATGACCCTCACAAATGTGGCTCTCATTTACCTGTGTGAAGCATCTTCAAAAGCAAATACAAGTTTATACCAATTCCACCCCCAAGGAAGTAAAAGGGCCTAAGAGTAATATAATCATATATAAAGATATCCTTGAAGCCATTGGTAAGGCCATATATACATTTATGGATGCTTGCTTTGTTTAATAATGTATGTTTTTAGGTTTACTTATTTTTTAGAGAGAGGGGAGGAAGGGAGAAGGAGGAGAAAAACTTTGATGTGTGAGAGAAAAATCAATTGGTTGCCTCTTGCATGTCCCCAACGGAGGACCTCGCCTACAACCCAGGCATGTGTCCTGACTGGGAATCGAACTGGCAACCTTTAACCATAGGCTAGTGCTCAATCCACTGAGCCACAC